ACTTGGTAGCCCAGGCTGGCCTCGAACTCACAGAGATCCACCTGGCTCTGCCTCCCGAGTGCTGGGATTAAAGGCGTGCGCCACCACCGCCCAGCGTCATTGTACTTTTTAACTTATTTTTAAATTAGTATATAACATGATAATATACTTTTCATAATTTTTTTTGTGATGGCTAATGTTTTTCAAAACAGTCACAAATCTTAAAAAAAAAATCCTCACTACATATTAGTGGACTTGTACTTATCAAACCCATGTTGTTCAAGAGCCAACTACATTTGGAATTCGGCAACATGAATAGGATATTTACAGCATAAATCTTGGAAGGGGTCACCTAGAGATTTTAGAGTTACAAGAGAAAAAGAGCCATAGAAAACTTCCTAACTAGTTTTATGTCAACTTGGCACAAGCTATGTGGAAGAGGAAACCTCAAAGGAGAAAATGCCTCTGTAAGATTATCTGTAAAAAAAAGCCTGTGGTGCATTTTCTTGACTGATGACTGATAGGAGTGGAGGGCAACTCACTGTGGGTGATATCAACCTTAGGCACCATGATGGTCCTGGAGGCTGTAAGAAAGCAGGCTGAGCAAGCAATGAGAAACAAGCCAGTTAGCAGCAGTCCTCTACTCCTCCAGGGCCTCTGTATTAGTTCCTACCCTGACTTCCCTGGATGATGGAGTATGAGCTGTAGGATGAAATAAACACTTTCCTTCCCAAAGTGATTTTGGTCATGGTGTTTCATCACAGCAATAAAAAACCTAAGACAACTTAGGTACAGAAGTGACAAAAATACTCTGAAAGGTAAACAATGAATAGAAAGAATACCCAAAGTCTAGGGTCCCAAAATGCCAAGGTAAGGACTTCAAAGAAGCACTCTCCAACAGTATCAAATCTTCACAGGTAAAGGGGGTAAAAGGAAACAAAGATGTGGCAACTCTCAAGTTTCTCTGACTTGAATGGGATGGTGAGGATGAAAGCTAGGCAGGAGGAACCTGGAGCAGGCAAAGAGGAAGCAGTGATATTATGTCAGTTCTTTTTTTTATATGGAATCAGCCGGGTGGTGGTGGCACACACCTTTAGTCCCAGCATTCAGGAAGCAAGACAGGTGAATGGAGCTCTGTGAGTTCAAGGCCAGCCTGGTCTAAAGAGTGAGCTCCAGGACAGCCAGGACTACATAGAGAGACCTTGTCTCCAAGAGAGAGAGAGAGAAATGTGGAATCAAAAATAATTTTTAAAGAATAGTTATTTGTACATGTATTCTAAAAGGTAATGATTCAGAAGAAAGGAGAAAACAGTAAAGCAAGACAGAAATAATAATTTACAGAGACAAAAGTCTTTGATACCATGAACAGAACCCTCATGCAAGGGTGGAGAGACAGCCTAACAACAGACGACAATGCTGTGCAGCTGCAGGGAGAAGCACACAGACAACTTCAGGTAAGGTATTTAGTGGAAATACAAACTTCCCACTACATCTTATTTCATAGGGAAGACTGGGAAAAAAAAAAAACACACAATGTTTAAAAGTGGGAGCAATTTTAAAACTACTCACATGCTTCCCCATTGAGATATCCAAGTAGATCTTTTCGGTCAGGTCTTCTAACCACAGGAATATTTTCGGTCTGAAGCCAAAATTTTAAATTAGATATTGAATGGAAGCAACTATGAAACTTGATAAATATCATGTAATCTCTGAATTTATCTAACAATCCTTAGTAACATGTATTTAAAGTCACATTTGTTTAAAAAAAAAGCTAAAAATTATCTAAAATTCTTGAAAATTTCTCAAATGTTAATTTTCAGTAATTTTACTTTGGAAATTTCAAAAAGAAATTCAAGACACTTATTTGAAAGTAAGTAATAACTTTATCTTTTCTCAAAGTATCAATCTCAGGCTTTCTCAACCCTCAACTTTACTTTTTTTTTGTTTGGAGACAGGGTTTCTTTCTCTGTGTAGCCCTGGCTGTCCCAGAACTCACTCTGTAGTCCAGGCTGGCCTCAAACTCACAGAGATCCGCCTGCCTCTGCCATCTAAGTGCTGGGATTAAAGACGTGCACCACCACTGCCCGGCTGTTACTTAATTCTAAACTGTACTCAGGATGTTATGCACATACAGGGACACTATCTTTTCAGTCCCAATGTTGACTCACTTAATACTTTGTAGTATTTTTTCCCACACACAGACCAAACCTCTTCGAACTATTCAACTGAAACTCTTCCAAGTGAACTACATAAACCACTAAATACAATTTTTGATAATTAACAAGTACATGAGAAAAAATGAACTCTAAGAAAATGTTAATTGTAGTAGTTTGCCACATTAGAGCCATGTGAGGAACTGCAATAAGAAGTTGGCTCAGCAGCTAGAGCTCTGGCTGCTCTTGCAGAGAAGCAGAGTTTGATTCCCAGCACTTCTGTCAGGTGGCTCACAACCACCTGTAACTCCAGTTCGGGGAAAGGGTTAGATTCCTGTGGCTGCATCTGGTACCTGCACTCATGTACTCATGTGTACTTAAGACACAACACAGCCGTATAAGTAAAAATAGCACATCTTTTTAAAAGATGCTTAAAACAAATAAAATGTACACTTAGGCATCAAGTCATCTTTGGGCCAATGAATTTTGCTATTACCACAATTTTCCTTTATCATTTTTCTAATGTAAAGAGAGTGAAAGAAAAACTGGTTACCAAGGGATTACAACCTTTGTCAACTATTATAAACAACAATGAAGTAATAAGAACCCTTAGTATCACTAGCCAATTACCTCACAATGACCACTATATGTCACAACACCCAGTACTTGCACATACTTTTTTCTGACTTAGCTGAACAAATAAATCACAGAATCTTTTTTAAAGGTCAGGCTGAATTTTAGTTTTTCCTTATGAGTAAATATACAAGTTTAAAAACCTACAAGTACTTCTGTCATTGTCATTTTTTACACAATCTCAGAGTCTGCTAAGATATTTCAGAATCCCTTCAAGTGTGGCGCACACTGGAGCCATCTAAGAAACTGCAGGTCTGCTGACACTAGAGGCCCCAGGGGTCAGGAGCACCTATCTACTCCAGGAAGAGCTGGTGTGCAACAACCAGCAAGAGCATGGCCACGGAAAGAGCAACCTCTGCTCTGCACAACCACAGAAGGTTACATGTCTGCTGTCCCCCTGGAAAATCCTTAAGAAAACAAACGTCACATCTTACAGGACTTGGAAATCCTTGGGTCCACAGTAACAACGGTAACTGGTATGAACTACAACCACTCGACAAGAATATAATCTTTAAATCTCTAAGTACTTCAATTATTTAACAAACAATTCTAATTGCTTGATTCACTTTTGTTTTTTTTTGTTTGCTTATTTTTTGGGGTTTTTTTTGTTTTTGGTTTTTGGTTTTGGTTTTGTTTTTTTGAGATATGGTTTCTCTGTGGAACAGTCCTGGTTGTCCTGGAACTCGATTTGCAGACCAGGCTGGCCTCGAACTCAGATCCACCTGCCTTTGCTTCCCAAGCTGGGATTAAAGGCGTGCACCAACACCGCCCAGTGCTTGATTCAGTTTTTATTTAAAGATCTAATAAAGAACAATGTAATGGTCAATTGCTAATATTTTCCCTACTGCTTAACAGTGATTTTTTTTAAATGTATTTAACACTGAATGTTTCTTGCTCAGAAAAGCAGTCCTACTGAATACTGAAGCCCATTCAACGATGAATCCTTTCTCAGCTAGTCCAAATAACAAGTTACTATTCCAAAACCTCAGCTATCACTGCTTTGAAGGCAAGTCTCCCACAACATACTGCAATGCAGCAGCAGTGTCAGACACCAAAGAGTGGCTCTACTGAAGGCAGGCAGGTACAATGACGGTGCCTGTGAAGGGTCTGTTTAAGAACTGTAAAACATAAAAGTACTATTTTAAATGAATACAATGCAGTAAAGTATGTAATAAGTTAACACAACATTTAGAATGGATATTTGAATATATCAGCAAATCCAACCCTACCAAGGGATCTGATAAGGCCCTCACTTTCAATAAAAGCTAAAGGGCTGGGGTATCTCTAGAAGAGTATTTGCCAGTATGCATGAAGCCCTAGGTTCAATGCCCAAAACCATAGATACAAGGCATGATTCCACACACATCTAATCCAAGCACTGAGGTAGAGAGGCAAGAGAATCAAAAGTTCAAGGTCATCCTCTACTACATAGGTGCTGAAGGCCAGCCTGGGCTACATGAAACCTGTGTTCCTCCAGCACCCAAAAAAGGTATCTGGGGAACCATCTTATTTGAACATTTATGGCAATTTGCAATGTCAAACTCAAATAAATCTGAATCCTATTTACTTATCAATTTTTAAAAGTCTCTTGCCTTTGGAAGAATCCCACCATAACAATCTCTGTAAAATGAAGCATTTTTAATTATTTCTAATGATTTCCTCTCAATAATGGATTTTCAAACACTGAAAAAGCAGATAAAACTGAAAAACAATACATCTGTCACTAAAGTACCAAAATAACTACACTGTTTAAAATTCTAAAAGTATCTGTTCATGTTGAATTTATTTACTTATTGGGAATTTCATACTGGAGTACTGAATTTACATCATTTTTACCCCTCCCTGCCCTCTATTATGTTTATACTAAGAAAAGTTTTCTTGAAATTAAACTGTAGTTCTGAATTATCAGAGTTCTTCCACCAGCTTACACATTTTTGAAACATCTATGAAAGTGCTTTTAAAACTTCTACTGTTATGCTGGGCAATGGTGGAACACGCCTTTAATCCCAGCACTCAGGAGGCAGAAGCAGACAGATCTCTGAGAGTTCAAAGACCAGCATGGTCTACATAGAAAGCCAAGAATGTGCACAGAAACTCTGTCTCAAAAACCAAACAAACAAACAAAATGTCTATACTGTTATAAACATTACCTAAATTTTACATGAATAATGAATGGTCAACTAAAACAACTGAATAAATCACATAGCAACTTAATATTGACACTCCAAAACAATTTCAGACATTTGAAACCCATGAGGGAAAATTATCTATACCAAACACTGTTTAATCAGTGAAATTTTAAAATGAATTCTACTTACAGCTGCACGTCGGACATAAACAGGATGAGAAAGGTGTACATTATTAAGTAGAAATAAGATAGAATCCAATGTGTAGTATTCTCTGGGTTGGCCTTCCTTTCCAGTCCTAAAATGATTAAAACATGAGTTTTATTAAGATTTTTAAATCAATTATTTAACCTTAGTTACATGTACTCATTTATATATCTACCTGATTATCTAACAATGTAGTTATAACAGCAAAAAATATACATGCAATACAAACTCTTATAAGTGAGTTGTTGTTGGGGCAAAAAAGACAAAATAAAAAAAATGAAAGAAACAGGGAGAGCACATAAATTCATACTCTAAAATACTATATATACTTTTTTCTTTTCTATTTTTAAGACAGGCAAGGTCTCATGTATCCCAGCTGGCCTCAAATCGGCCACACAGCTGAGGGTGGCATGTTGTATGTGGTGCTGGAGATCAAATACAGGAACTCATTCATGCAGGGCAAGCACTCTACCAACTAGGCTACATCCTCAACCTCACTTTACACATATTTTAAAATAAGACCTAAATTGTGTTCTGAGCTCTGTCAACAGAGAAAGCAACCCAACCAGCTGCTCAACGGGAAGATCATTCAAAGAAAACTAACTGCTCAGGGGAAGGGATCACTAGGGCTGGCTGCACTTAGAAAATGAACATCTTTCTAACAAGTTCTAAACAAGATACTGCCGTACAACATCCTCAACAATACTCTGAAAAGGAAACAGGATGAACTTCAATGGCAGGATCCTTGTAACATCTCTCAAACTAGACCAGTGACACAAAAATCAAAATATAATTCTGTGATTCAACCATGTAGTCTTGGGAGTACAAGCTCTATAATGCTAGCACATACACAGCTTTCTACTTTTCCCTTCCCCCTCCATCTGTAGTTATGATGGTTAAACTATATGAATCTATCTGAGTGCAGCTCAATGTAATTTGTCCTAAACCTACTTTACTAGGTTCTATTATCACTTTTCTTCTAAACTGATACATCAAATCAGCCACTACTCCTTAATTATGTACAAAGTAATGGTAAAAAAGCAAAAAGCACTGAATGCATTAAGGGTACTAATTAATCTTTTATATATGTACATATTTAGATGTGCATACATGTAGAAAATAACTATTGAAGATTTGATATTAAAAGTTTCAATTGTAGCCGGGCGGTGGTGGCGCACGCCTTTAATCCCAGCACTCGGGAGGCAGAGCCAGGTGGATCTCTGTGAGTTCGAGGCCAGCCTGGGCTACC